TAGTAGTAGTAGTAGTAGTACTAGGATGATGATGATGACACTAAAGCAGTGGCGCAAGTTGAAAATGCGCTGTCCATAAACAACCGTGCCAGGTGTCCACGCTCCTGTACTTTGGATACATGGCCATTATGTCGCTCCTCTTCGGGCTGCTGACCGGTTCTATTGGCCTGTCCGCGACTTGGACATGCATGCTTGATGTTTTGCCACCCTTACGTGACAGAATTCCTTTCTGCCGGACACATCTTTGGATTGAACCCATAGCGTCATAGAGTCGGACCAGAAGGTCCAATCAAGTTTGTCCACTGCACAGATGCCCGGTACTTTGCCGTTCGGACCAAGCCTGGGAAGCACCCGGGTGTCGTGCACTTTTCTCAGCCGTTACCGCCCCGGGCTTGCCTGGCAAGCCCCCCAAAGCGCTGATGCATGATGCGATGGCCCTCTGTTTCTTAGGCCTTATTCTGGGTGCCGCCACAGCATCAGCTAGCTGTTCAGGAACATGTGAGCGGCTAGGTCCCAGTCAAAGTTCGTCTCTTCTGCAGTCACGCGTCGATCACAGAGAACTGGTGATGCAACCACATGAGGCGGCCAATGCTTCATCGACAACATCAATCATGCACTCCACATCAGAGGAAGCATCGGTTGTCACGTCGACCGAGGCAGTGCAAACCAGCGAGACGCGAGCAGCAAGGACAACCTCGACCCTCACTGTCATGGCAGGAGCAATCACCACGGTTGTGCAGGCCACTACTACTACATTCGAGCAATTTTCGCCCGTCACTTCAACCGATACTACTGATACAGTGGAAACCACCGAGACGCGTGCACCAATCACGACGGCGACCCTCACTGTCATGGCAGCAACGACGACCTCTGAGAGCATAACCACGTCGGTCTCCGACGATCTGACTAGCAGCTCAGCTCCTGCTTCTACGGAGTCTTCGACGGAGTCTGTCGTCGTGGACACCACAGCAGCGGTCACAGACTCCACGACCTCGGCTACGGCAACAGAGATGCTGAGTACGTCCGCAAGTGAAGTCGTGACGTCGACCGCAATGGTCAGCAGCACAGAGAATGAGGGCGCAACCTCATCTACTCAGGTTGCCTCGTCTGCTGAAGGCACCTCGAGTCCTGCAGCTTCATCCTCAGTGGTTGGCAGTACAACGGACGAGGCTCCAAGTTCATCTCTTCAGTTTGAGACATCGACTCCGGTAGTCAGCACCGCAGAGCCCGGGACCTCGGGCAACAGCGCAGTCAATTCATCGAGTCCGTCCACCAGCAAAAGCCCACCGTCCTCCAGTTCCTCCAGTTCCACGGAGAAAGAGAAAGAACGGGGGTTGAAGTCCGGGTGCAGAGGCCCCGGCCTTGGCCTTGGTCCCAGGGCCATTTGGGCCCTGGCAGCTGCGGCAGCTGCAGTGCTCTCTTTGTGAAGCGCAGAAAAAGACTCCAGGTCTTTTTGGGTGCACAAACACCCTAAAAAATCCCCAAACCCTTCCCTTCCCGTGCTTCGGGCGCTCCAGGATCTCATCCTTCTTCTTCGTCAGGCCGAGCAGAGAGAGAGTGAGGGAGAGAGCGAGAGCTGCACACAGCTCGCCCTTGGCGCGGCCGGCCCTTGCTTGCAGGACCATCTATGGGTCGATCAAGGTGGATTGAGCTTCGGCGGCCGTCAAGGTGTCATGTAGAAGTGCCGACGATGGAGCCTGGGTGCCTCCGGCGGCCTCTGGCCTCCGAGGCCCTTGCCGGCCGAAACCCGCTTCCGCAGATGTAGGTGACGTACGGAAGCACGAACTCTGGGTTGCCGGGTTTCCGCGTTAATGTCCCAAGGCAGCTGCCTTCCAGAAGCGGCTTCTAGACCTGCCCTTGTCGTCGCAAGGATGCACAAAAGCATGCAAAAACACACTAGCGAGTCCCGCGCGAGGTCTAGACCGCTAAACCGAAATGGTGCAGGTAGAATTCATGCTCGAAGTAGTGGAGGTGACGGGGGCAAGAGCTCTCTCTTTGCCTCACTATATCAAGTTCTGCGTGGAGCGACCTGCGTGGAGCTATGAACCAGGTGGCTTTGCGCGTTGCGAGGCTTCTTCAATCTATACTGCCGGAGCAGCTGTGAGACTCAGCAAGCCCTTGATGGATTCGGCCTGCCTTGCGTGGATCACAGTTGCTAGGATTTTACGGGTGAGGGCGGCATTCTGCCGTAGCCAGCTGCAGGCAGGGGCGTCACTGCCACTGCAGAATTTGAGTGGAGGTCCCAACTACTCGCTCAAGCAGAGGCTGTCAACTCTTCCATGTCACCACAGAACGAGGGCACAAGAACATGGGCGACACCTCTGTCCGAAATCTGATGCAAACTGTCAGGCCCCGCCCTTCAGCAGCGCATGACCGGAGCGAGGCACAGAGACGGGGCTTTGCATTCTCCTTTACTTTGGAAAGCATCTACGAAGCTAGCAAAGGACGGGAGCCAAGAAGCAAAGGAGAAACGAAGGAACGGGAGCTCGCTCGTAGATTCTAGAGCTCCCGACAACTTTCGCAGGAACAGCATACTGACAGACGACTTTTGGGAAACAAGTTCGATTTCCGAAAGATGTGACAGTCGGCAAAGTCCGCTGAAGCTAGGTCATCTTGTCAACTGTTGGCGACACTGCCTCAGCCTTCGAAATGCTACAGCTACATCCAGACTACGGCTGCAAGTGGATGCTCGCATGGGCGGATCGTAGATGGAGTTCAGACAGTGACAGAGAAAACGGTCAGCGCTGGCGAGACCCAAGTTCCAACCTACCGGACAGGGGCATGATGTGGTTTTCGAGCCTGCTCATTCAGATTCTTCCGATCTGCAGCAGGCGGCAGCCGCAGTGATCCGGGTCTCAGACATGCCATGGGCCCAGACCGTGACTCCATGCTGAGTTGCGGAGAACTTGGCTCCCCTGTCTTCGACTGTCGCGTTCTTCTGGAAGGTCGGTGGCGAACGGCGAGGGTACCATTGGGGCAGAGCCAGGCCCCCCCGCCCTGTCCAGCGCACGGCACATTGCGGATGCAGGGTCGTCTTCGACAGGACACAGCCAGGACTCTGCCTCCAAGTGCGGCTCCGAGTGCCCATTTTCGGCCGCAGCAAGTGCATCACAAGGGACGTCGCAGATAATTTGTTCCAGGAGGGTTTGCTACGTCGTGAGTTGTTTGACGCATCTTTTCAGGAGGACGTGGAGGGCCGAACTTGGCTGGGTTTAGGGTTGCTGGATGTGAGATTTCAAACTTCAGGGTTTAAGGTTCAGGGTTTAAGGTTCAGGGTTTATGGTTTAGGTTTCAAGGTTAAGGGTTTATGGCTTAGGGCTTAGGGTTTCTGGAATTGAGATGTCACGGTTCAGGGTTTATGGCTTAGGAGTTCTGGGTTTGAGATTTCAAGGTTCAGGGTTTATGGTTTAGGTTTCAAGGTTCAGGGTTTATGGATCCGGCTTAGGGTTTCTGGATGTGAGATTTCACGGTTCAGGGTTTATGGTTTAGGGTTTCTGGATTCGAGATTTCACGGTTCAGGGTTTATGTTTTAGGGTTTCTCAAGCTTCAGGGTTTATGGTTTAGGGTTTCTGGGTTCAGGGTTTATGGCTTAGGGTTTCTTGGGTTTGAGATTTCAAGCTTCAGGGTTTATGGTTTAGGGTTTCTGGGTTTGAGATTTCAAGGTTCAGGGTCTATGGTTTAGGCTTTCTGGATCTGAGATTTCAAGATTCAGGGTTCATGGTTTAGAGTCCACATCAAGGGTTTATGGTTTAGGGTTCCTGGGTTTGAGATTTCAAGCTTCAGGGTTTATGGTTTAGGGTTTCTGGGTTTGAGATTTCAAGGTTCAGGGTCTATGGTTTAGGGTTTCTGGATCTGAGATTTCAAGGTTCAGGATTATTGGTATAGGGTTTCTGGACTTGAGATTTCAAGGTTCAGGGTTCAAGGTTCAGGGTTTATGGTTTAGGGTTTCTGGATTTGAGATTTCAAGGTTCTGGGTTTGTGGTATAGGGTTTCTGGATTCGAGATTTCACGGTTCAGGGTTTATGTTTTAGGGTTTCTGGGTTTGGGAGTTCAAGTGTCAGAGTTTATGTTTTAGGGTTTCTGGATCTGAGATTTCAATTTTCAAGGTTTATGGTTTAGGGTTTCTGGATTTGAGATTTCAACGTTCGGGGTTTATGGTTTCTGGTTTTGAGAATTCAAGGTGAGGGTTTAGGGCCTTTAGGGTTTCTGAGTTTAGGCTCTCGGTTCAGGGTTTCTGGGCGCTTTGGGGTTCGGGTTGCTGGGTTTCCGTGTTTGCGGGTTTCTGGGTTCAGGTTCAGGTTTCGGGACTCAGGGATAGGGGGCAAAACCCTGGGGTAGCAACTCCGAGACACGCAAACAACAAACACCCAAACGCAGACGTAGCGCACACAAAACACAACAGCAAAGATGTCAAACATACAGCAAGTCCCACTCCCCCGGGCCCTTAAAGGAAAGGTTGCGTCCAACCCGGGCTGCGGACCTGGCTTGCAGTTTATTTTCCGAGGCGCACCCCACCATAACGTCCCACTGCGGAACAATTTAGACAATATTCCGACGACCTCCCCCTGTTACCTGAAGCACCACTCGGTTCTTGTGCCACAAGGCAACAGCCCCAGCCACCGCCGTCCGTGGGAAAGTCCGTTCGCGCGACGCTCGCCCGGCACCGAGCAATGCACCGAGCAATGCCTCGTTGCCCCGGGCGCGCCCCGAGCGAGCGCCGAGCGCCGAGCGCCGATTCTTCTTGGTCTCGTGAGGCGAGCCTGGACTGGCCACCACCCCCGAGCCCTGCCACGCTTTTGCGACCTAGTAGTGCTACGCTCGGGGGGCTTTTCTGGATGTCCATGCTGAGAGACGGGGAGTGTTTGGAGCCTACTAAAGTCCAGCTTGATGGAAGCTTCGAGGTCGAGTGGGCAGGGGCGCATGGTCACAACAGGGCTTTGAAGAGTCCAACTTCCTCGGCTGTATGGCTCCAGCTTCACAAAATTTCCCGAATTGCGTAGTTAGGAACAGCTTTTGCGGCAGAAAGTCGTCGATGCCTTGCTGCATGTGGCCTTTGTCAGAGGATCAGGAGGTTGTGCACGTGTGTCTTGTTTTTTCTGTGCATATTTACTCGCATTGAGGAAAGAATGGTGCCTCCGCCAGAGATGAGTCAGGAGCAGCTGCTTGGCTACACTGGCTACACCTGTGCACCGGCGTTGCGGCTTCTTTGGGGGTCTTATGTAGGACGACCTCTGAGGATGTGGATGCAGCGACAGCAGCCCGGGCAGGATGCTTCGGTCCTAATCTGCTCATGCATGTGGTGCACAGAGTGTGCGACTGAGTGTCTCTGAGGGGTGGCCCCAGCAGCAGCAGCCCCAGCAGCAGCAGCAGCAGCAGCAGGTGGTCATTATGGTGCCTGCAGATTCTTGGCGCGAAATTTCGTCGAACGAGTGCGTCTCAACAAAAACTGAGAGACGGGTAGAGTCGGATGTGGAACCGATCCGTTTGGTGCTTGCTGCGCAAGTGGGCATGAGGACCGGCTGATGCACAGCTACGGCCTCCAGGGTGATGCCGGAGGCGGCACAGAGTCAGGGAAACCTGCGTCGAGACTTGACGAGCGAGCTGTATTTCGTCCTTCGCCAGGGATGGCGCCGATGCCCGAGCCGCTGAGTCGCACCGGAGCTACTCCAGAGTCTTGCATCGGGCTTCCTGTTGGAAGGCCCTGCCGAGAGAACACCATACCCCCATGCATGCGATTCAGGTATCAAGGTGGCTGGTGGGGCCAGCAAGTCTACCAGCCCCAGGCGGATTCGAAGGGGCTTCACCACTTTGCTACAGTGTCTGGGATGCGGGAGCGGATCTTGCGTAGGAGCAGATGGCGGGCTTCTACCAGGCACGGAGCTCTGTGAGCCTTGCGAGGTGTTTGCGACTTTCCGACATGTCAGGACCACAGCCTGGCTCCACATCCGGTCTTCCAGCCTGCATGTGCCAAAGCAGCGCCGGAAGCCCACAGGTGGTGGTTTTTTGGGATTTCGGTGGGTGGAGGAAGGCGAGGCAAGGCCCAGGATCGGGATCTGTTCTTCTGAGGTTGCCAGGGGCCCAATGGGCAATGCAGCAGATGCAGTCCCTACCTCTACAGCCTTCTCAAGTCGGGAGCCGAGATGAGCCGAGAGACTCTGCGAAGAGAGAGTCGCCCTGCCCTGAAAGAGGCTCGTCCTGCAGCGGGGCCGTTTCAGGCCCTGACCGCAGGGTTCGCTGCGCTCGTCTCTGGGCCTTCTCTGACAGCGCCCAAGCAGGTGTCTCCGGAGTTGCAACATCAGCAGCTGCAAATGATGAAGCTCGGCAAATAACCGATCGAGCTTTGGATGTTTGCCGTGTTGCTACAAGGTCGTGGGTGCTTGTAAGGTCGTCATTCAAGTTGTATCGCACGTGGTCTAATGACAGAGTTACAGACCGAGCGACAGCTGAGGGCGGTCAAAGCACCAGAGAGAACGCCTGAACCACCGGTGCCTTTGATGCGCTTCAGAAAGCAGTTTTTCATCATCCTCGTTGTTGGAAGTGTTGGCAGCTCTGATCAACGGTCTATCATGTTCTATCGACACAGAGACTCTGCGTGCAAGTGACAGCATATCTCCGGGAGGCACCTCCGGATACAGAAGTGGTCACAGAGCCAACATCCCGGTTGGAGGCGGATGCTGTATCATTGTTGATCACAGTTCAGAAGCTTGGAAGCTTGTTCCCTTCGCCCCGCGCTGTTTCAGGCAGAATTAGACAGGGTCAGAGTTCTTGTCAGGTGCCTGCAGATGCTTGTGGGGGCACAGCATTCCCGACGCCGCGAAGCACAGAGGTCCCTCCGGCAACTTCGTCCGAACGGAGAGGGCGTTTTCAGAGGGGAATTTTTGTGGCCCAGAAGCCGACAGATGGCGACTAAGGACCGCAGTGACGAAGGCGAAGTGGATCGAACAGAGGAGCAGAGGCGCTTCACTTGGCACAGGGCCTCGAAAGCCTCGAGGGCCTCGAGAGGGCAGTTTTCTCGAAGGTCTCGCCTCAGTGCCAGCGCAGCTCGCCGCCTCCGCCGGAAGCGCGCCGCTGAGCGCGCGCAGCGCGAGGCCGCGTGTGCTGTTTGGGGAAGAAGCTGGACGGACAAGGGTTAGACTGGCTGTCATGATGACATGGCGGAGGCCGACCTCGCCCTCCCCGGTACTGCAACTGGGCTGCAAGGAACAGCACCGGCACGCACATCTTCGCACCTCTGACAGTTCTTCCGAGCAAGGATCATCGGGGATGCAAGGCATACAGCATATTGAGAAGTGTGAGATATTCGGTTCCGTAGATTAGATGTAGCAAACATTTCTTGCCAGCAGTGATCGCGGCCTGCCTCCCAGATATTTCCCGAGCACTGCGAGCAACTCCGGGAGCAACTGCAGAACGGCAGTGCCTTGGAAGAAACGAGCTTTAGGAGGGTTTTTAGCACAAGTCTAGGCATGTGTTCTGCAGACAGGCCGCTTGGCTGGTAAACTAGTAGCATAAAACGAAGTGCAGCCGCGACCGAAGATTGTTGTGATGTCGGAACTACTCTCGCATCAGTCCATCGATGCTTGATGCTTGATTATTGGAGACGGCGATGCTGTACATTTGTTGTCAGCATGGCGGGACTTCCCTTCTGCAGTGCTTTGTGCAAATGAGGCGGAGATGTCCGAGACATCATTCGACGCCTTCGTGGACAGGCACCGCGACTTCTCGAGAAGAGCTCTCCCCATGCCCCAGCCCCTACACTGAGGTTTGGTCGCTCTCGCGAGATGCTCACGGTTGCCGGCTAGTTCAACAGGCCAACCTGGAGCAGATGCATGAAGATGTCAGTGTCTCCTTCAGCGGAGGTTCTCGAAATGGCTGGTCAGCGTGATGCTTACGAAGTCGCCAAGGAGAGGGCACCCTCGACACATAGTCACTTCACAGCAGCTGCCACGCTCAGGAGCTGGACGGTCACATCTTGGAGGCCGTAATGTGCCCTCACGGCAATTATGCCTCTCGGAATGAATTGAGACTGAAGCTATGCTGCACCCCGAATCTGACTCTAGCTGCTTTCCCTCCTGCCTCGGCTCCATTCCGCTTGCGCTCCCTCCTTCGTCGGAGGTTGTGCAAAAGATCGTGTCCCAGCTTTCCGTGCGCCTTGGCGAAGAGAGCCGCGGCCCTGCGTTCTCCTCCCTATAAATCCTCCTGCCGTCAGCAGTGTGTTAGAGATGCCGGTCCATGGGTTCATGCTCACCGCTCCACCAGGGCCTCCAGCGACTTCGTTGCACGAGATCTTCAAGGCCATGTGGTGCGAGCTGCTTTTCTGCACGAAGTTGGCAGCGACGTCTCGGTATTTTGTGCATTTCTTGCTTGCGACCGTCTCTGGTGAATGACGTCGCGCGGGATGGTCCGTGAAATCAAGCAAGCCGCTACAGATAGGCGAGCTTCCAGGCGAGAAGCGTGCGTTGCGCCCTGCCGAATGTCCACGTTTAGTGATGGACATGTCTACAAAGGTTGCGAAACACCGTTTCGCTTGCCGGATCCTATGTCGCTTGTTAGACACCTGGCAGCAACTTGTGGTAGTGCGGTGCATGCCAGATGGCATCAACGACGGCAATGTGGGCCCAAGGAGTTCTGTGGTTCGAGTGCTCGCACCTCGGAGCTCGTGGACGAGCTGCTGCAGGAAGCAGGCCCTTTGTGCCGAGGCTGCATTCGTGTGCTCCGAGAAGCATTTGAGTGTTCGCTGTTCCAAGTCATGGACCAAAAGAGTACAGTAGAGAAGAGCTGCATCCATGCAACCTTCTGAGGTGTTGTCATAGTTTCGCGCACCATGTGATCCAGTCCGCGACCTGCCACGAATTGAAGAATTAAAGGATGGAAGTGCATCATTTCATGGCCATCGAGTCGATGCGTCTGTCTCGTTACAGCGATCTAGTACTCAGGTACTGGAGCATGGACTGGACAAGCACAAGGACTTCACTTTGGATGCACGTGTAGACACTGTTAGTTGCTGTATGAACTGCACCCCTCATCTGGGGTTTGACGGAATCAGCAACCATGATCCTGAATCAAAGGCCCACGGCTGGACGATTCAGAAAAGTCATCGGAGAATCAGCACACATGCTGAGCTCTTGCGATTGTTGAGTCGAACGAAGAAACTAATGACCTCTTGTCAGCATCAGCTTCAATATAACATGACAATCGGTGGGAACATGAAACTGATGCTGTGTCAATGTCTTCATCATGACATCATGATGGATGAGGCAAGTGCATGCAAGTGCTTCACATTTTTTCCTGCTCCTTCGCGCAAGGCACAACAGGACACATGGTGCAAACTGCTAGGGTGTGCAGAAGCAGTCGAGCTGGTCACGAGCATAAGCAATGCAGCCTCTGTGTCGTCGAAAAACATGGAACTCCGGGAATGCTAATTAGACGTCGAATTAGCGCGATTGGAACGGAAAGAGCGATACAGATGAATCTGGGTGTGTACTTGTCCGCGTCAATGTTAAGCTTTGTGCGATGCCGCCGCGACAGGTCAGGAGCACCTTCAAGTCTTGGTCGCTGTGATGTTTTCTGCATGAGGTCGTCAGGATGTTGACAGCCTTGGATGTTTTCGCTGACGTCGATGTTGCCTCGCGTACACACATTCATGTTCATACAGCAGAAGATCGAAAAGTTCTGGTAGCAATGCTTTCTAGGTGGACCTATGTCTTTCTTCGCTTTTTCCGAGCCTTCTGTTTCTGTCTTCGCCCAAGCCTTTAACGGAATCAGCACAGAAAAACCACGGCATAGAACCACAACGAATCAACGAATGATTGAAATCAGAAGCATGAAACTGACAGTACATAACGAAATCTGAGCCCTGGAGACATGTACGATGCTGGCTCTACGCCATCCATGGAATCCCAATCCTTTAACACAGCATCGGTTAAGAAACAGCATCCTAAAGGAGATTATTGCACTGGCCCTGAACGGGGACCCGATGAAATTTGCAACTTGGACAGGTTTGTTTGATTCCGCGGCAAATCATGCAGTTTTAGCAGATGCCCCAGCGGGCTCAGCTGCTAAGGCTACGCACAAGAACTCCAGCTACCTCATTGAGAAGGCCCTTTGCTACTGCAGCGCGGACGACAGGTACACGCACACTAGAAGCACTTAGTCGGAGAGTCCCTCAGGGGCGTTTTGTGGGTTTCCGAGGTCTCTTGGACCTCACTCAGATGATCTGAGTTGATCTAAGGCTGATTGACCGGCTCGGCTCTCCGAAGTCTCTTGTGGAGCAGCTGGGCTTTCGTTTCGGACCGGGAAGGGAAGCTGCGAATTGCGAGAGCTCGCGGCTTGTGCAAGGCTGGCGTACACGCAGTATGGCTGCTATGTCGCGAAGGCAAAGCATACTTTGACCACAAGGGCTGTCGGAAACTGCACCCTTTGTTCGGGTCAGGCGATCCTGTCCTTGGAAGATCGCCAGATCGACAAGGATGCGACAATGCTCCTTGACTGGATTTCGATAAAGCAGATGTGCTTGCCCTCGCTCGCCGCCGGGCGACGGGACCGTTCGCCCCAGGCATGAGCTCTGGAAGCAACGGAAGGAGCTGGAGCGCTTCAGGCGAGCAAGGGATCGGATTCCTTTCGGGCCTGGAAGGGTGCCGGTTGCTCCCTTGGCATCGCCTTGAGCCCTAGGCATGGCCATCGTCTCTTGGAGGACGGAGGGGTAAGCGCGTGCTCATCGCAATGCTGCGCATAAGTGTCAGGATTTGGGCCTCATTGCTGGCGAGGAGGGTGCAGAGTAGGCTTGCAGCTTCGCTCAGATCTTCCTCTGGGCTTCCTCTGCTACACGAAGCCGCATGGATTTTTCCCGAGCTGCCAGTCGCTGCAGGTGACGACGAAGTGGCGTCCAACTGATGATCGCCTTTTGGCGGAGATGCCTTACCCGCCGGAGTACTGACCAATCGCAACAACATCGCAAACAGTTTATGTAAGCAAGAGTTGTATGTCACTCCACCTGTCCTTTCAGTCTATGATCTGGTCAAGGCTCTCTGTAGGAGGAGACAGGTGTGTCAACCACGGCAGCTATACTGTTTCGTAGCCGATTGAAGAGCCTTCGGAACGAATGAGGGAAGCCCTGCGTGTGTTTTCTTGTCACTGCCGGCCGGCTGGACTACCTGTTTCACCATGTGGCTTTACAGTCTCGAACCCTCGGAGGTGAGACGGCGCAATGCTTCGGCTAACAAACAAGCTAGTTTGACAAGCCCAAGAGGACATTTACTTGCGCCACTCATCTCGTGGGACCCGACGTCGGAGATTCATGAGCTGCGGCCGTGCAGACTGGATTTGGGTGACACCGCACCAGGTCAACATAGGTCAGGGAAGTAAGAATTGCGTTCGGCCGCTCAGGCTCAGACCGACTAAGTGCATGCAAAATTCTAATCAGGACAAGCTTGGCCAACAGAGGAGTATGGCATTGGGAGAGTTTCTGCCGAAGGGTTTTGTTCGGGCGAAAGCATATGTAGGGCCCTTGGTTGGCCCCTCCCCGTGCTGCTCCAGGCTCTCAGCAATGTCCTGCCTAGACTTCAGTGACCGGCTCGCATGATGCGACATTTTTTGACACAGCTCATCTTTTGCTAAGCCTTCACACCAACCTTGGCTAATTGTGCTATATTGTGCTCTCAGAAAATATCAGGAGATACGTGAGAGGTCACTGTTCTACCCCGTTGGAGGTGAGACCAAGTTCCAAGCCCGTTGTGGCGAAAACGCGTCGGACGACGTTGCGCCGAAGAGTCCGGTGTGGGACCGGCCCTTTTGTACAGGCAAGCGTCTGGTTCTTCTGCGGCCTTTTGCTTGAGCCAAGTACTCCTTCGATTTGCCAACTTGCGGGTTCTAGATCTTCCATGTTCCTACTGGGACTGTTAGCTGTGTCAAGGGCACGTCAAGGCAATCGAAGGTCTGGGTGCCTTTGGGCCAGGGAAAGCCATCGTGAGTGTTATGGAAAAAGTCGTACGACTGACAATCTTCGGATGACCGTTCCCTCAGGCTCTCAAAAGCATCCATTTGGTTTGACTGCCTTGCGTCGTAGCGATATCGCTCCGCGGACAGAAACTCTGCTGGCAAGTGCAAGCCAAGAAGGGCCGAGAGCCCTGCAGCGCTACGGAATGTGGCGGAATCTTCTCGAGCTGGTGTGGTGCAACATGATGGACCCGATGCAGAGCTCGGTTCGGTGCCTCTAGAATCCTCTAGACTTCGACTCCGCGAATCACCAGAGCCGAACTCTGTGGATTTTAACACTATGTTCCAGAGACCCGCTGCTTGGCAGAATGGATGTCCGGTCGTCAGCCGAGACAAAACGAGGGGCCGAGATGCGACTGGTAAGTGCTTACTCGGCCCATCGTCTTCGTGGCGACTTCGGGCTGTTGACAGCGACAGCGTGTTTGCGCTGAGGTAGTGCAGCTGACCACAGCCGATCCTTGGCAGGGCTCTTAGCCTCGAGTCGATCGTCTTTGGCCTCAGAGCGAGTCACCCCGAGGCCCTCAGCGCTAGCGCGCCGACACTGGCATTTACAGAGTCCCAGGCCGAAGAAAGTTCTTTCGTAGGAACGCAGCTTCAGTCTTGGTTTTGCAGGCTGCCTTGAGGGCCAATGAGCTTGCCAACAGAAAGGACCAGATGACATGCGTCTACTGAGTATGCTGGGCACATGAGATTCCCGGAATTGGAGTAAGTCCTGACCCGGTGCAGTGTATGCTTTTGCGGCGCGCAATTCGGTGGCTGTGCCTCTGCTAGGAACTTTGGAATTTGCGCGCGGATATCGAGAAGGAGAAGCTACGCTCCTCCGCTGCACTTTCTTCGCACCCGGACCCTCTGAGTCTGACACAGATCGATTTCACAACTTGTGGCTCGAATGCGTCGTCGAACTCGTCCTGTCAGTAAGCAGTCCCAGTTCTTTGCGACTCGTGAAGAGTCAGCCGCTGGGCTCACAACATATGTGAAGGTCATGTGGCGCCTTTTCCCTTCTTCGGGCGGGCAATGCGCTTTCAGGAGGGGGAGGGTCGGTTCACAACACGGCATGCGGTTTCCTGGATTGCCGAGTCAAACTGCTTGCTGGCTCACGAGCTCGTGCGCAAAGTCGCGAAAGGACAAGTTTGCGGCTCTTCAGATTACTGACGACGGTCGTTTCAGCGGGCCCCTCGGAAAACCGAGCAACTGGACCTGGAGCTTTTTGCTCGCGTGCTTGCCTGCTAATTGCTCTTGTCAACGAAATGTGGAGGTACGGGGAGGGGGGTCAGCGTTGGGACAGTTCAGGTCGTTTGTGCAGGGCATGCATCCCTATGGACATGGAGGTAGCTGCTAACTTATCACGACAGCTAGCGGCATTTGCAAGTTTGCTAGTTTGTATCGCTCTAAGAGAACCGTTATTTTCTTCTTGGCTTTCTAGCGTTGTTATGCGTTGTTGCTCATGCTAGTCGTAGGAAAGCTTCTGCTCTTGGTGTGGATGGGAACAGTTGCTTCATTATGCTGATTGCTCCGGGACATGTATGATGTATGCATGTTTTGCAGCCTTTGTGCCATGGTGCAGATAGAACCCTATGGATCTCTGATGCGATGCGCAGAGTCGGACAACGAATGCACATGATGTGCGAATGCATTGTTGCCACGGGCTCTTGCTCAGGCTATTCCTTCGTGGGCTTGAACCATGAGGCCGTCTTGCATGGTGTGGAGCCTGCACCGGATGCCTCCGGCGTCAGGGTTGCACTTGCTGCCGTAGTTATCAAGCCATGTTGAGTTCTATCAGAAGATGGTTGCACTATGTTGTACCACATCAAAGAAGGAGTGTTGTTTCAAAGCACATTACCTCGGTCAAGTCGTGTTGTGAGCACCGGGTCTAATGGCTTCTGCATCACCATCCTTCCCTCCGGAATGCCTCGCTGCTGCTGCCACGCCGCCGCTGAAAGCCGCTGTACATGAGAAGTTGAGGCACTGGCACTGCCGAGTCAGTCTTCTACGTTTCGTCGATTGCACAGGGTCTGACTCTCGCCGCTTCTTCACCTTTGGGCGTTTCCAGGCGGAGCGGAGGACTCGAGGGACTTGGTGGCCTGGCATCGGTGCACTTCCGCCCGTTGAAGAAGGAGGCCGGGCGGCCGGGGAGCGACTGAGGCTCAGGACCCTGCTTACCTGCTTTTTCGAGGACCGCAAGGAGCTAGAGCAGCTTCACCGCGAGTGGTTTCCGGTCCGCGGCCTCAGCCACATTGGAACACACTCCCCAGCGTGATTGTGCGCGCTCGCGGTGAGCGACTGTTGAAAGGGCTGTCCGAGGTTGTTTGTTGGTTCAAGGCCATATCAAGTCCCAACAGCATGGTACTGTCGTATCCATGATGAAGAATTTGGCTATGTTTGGCTCGCTTCCTTAAAGCGGCGTTTGCCTCGGCACCAGATGCTAAGTTGAGATACGGTTTGGGGCTCTCGGATGGAGCCCTAGGATGTCAGACGATAACGCACCTAAAAGTCAACACCAAAAACTCGGCCCCAAATCCGCGAGCCCCAAACCTACACTCAGCCTGTGAAACCTTACCACTACAAAACCTGAATTTTTAAAGAGGCTGCTGACATTGAGCAGAGGAAAAGAAGGCTCATGTCCGATTGGAGACGGCTTGAGACGAGGTGGCCTACCCTGCGAGCTTCTATGACGAGGCTTCGGATGTAGTTTTTTTGCTGCTGTGACTTCGACCGGTCCGAGATGGAAACATTGAAGGTCTTCCAGAGTCGCACGGTGCAGAGCCTTGCTGCGATTGCTGGTGACATCCTCCTTGGTGCCGCCACCTTTCGAACGACTGGCTTGCCATGCAGGGATATTCGGAAAGGCAGTCATCATTCCTGACTTGCTCGAGATCCACAACTCCTAATCCGATAGTGAGGACCTTTGCCGAGCCCCGATTCGACATGACCTCGGTCCTGCAAGGCTGGCCAGATTCAGTTTTCTCAATTAAACCTCGACTTTCCGAACAACACTCGTGTTTCCACTCTTGCCAGCCAGCTCATCAGAAGCTTGTGGTCGTTGCACACATTTTTCTCTGCTGCTCTTACCTTCAACGGACCGAGGTCTGTGTTCTGGTTGTGTGCCAGGGAAGGGCAGAAAAAATGCAGAAACCAAGCAGGGAATGCCTGAGCATGTGTGTTTGGCACGTTCCCCCCTTGGGGGAAGGAAGAGAAGAAGCAACGAGGGCTGGGTGAAAAACGTGTCTCATTGCTGTTGGGGTTTCTCGTGAGTTTATCTCATACATTTTCGATCACGTCGACCAGGGCCCTGGCACCTAGCTTTTTGAGCTCTGCCAGCAAACGCATGTTGGACAATTTCAGCAAACTCAGAGGAAACACATGTCGTGATCAGTTTTTTCTCAGCAAAGCCTTGGGAGACTTCAGTATGATCTTGTGGCAACAGAACCGTCGGTGGGATTGATGCCCGGGACATCTTCAGAACCACGGTGAGTTCAAGTCGTGGTGGGCATCTGGCAGCAATTGGGAACACAAAGCCGTCGAGACAAATTACGCTTTTTAGGGTTTCAGGTTTAGGGTTTGAGGAAGGCAAATCAACCCTTGTTGCAGGGCTTGGGCATGCCAGCTTGATGCGAGCTCATTGCGTGTCGGAGCGCGGATGAAAGCATCGGAGACTTGTCGTTGCGTTGGCTGCTCCAATTTTTCTTTCTCGCCCGAGACAGTAAAGGGCGGTGCCTGCCCTCAACTAGCTTCGGCTTTTTAGGGTTTAGTCACTCAAGCCCTTTTTGTCTTCTGGCATGGTCCTGGTTGGAACTGTTACAAGCATTTGCCCGACATGGGATCTGGCTAAAGGTGGAGAAGCAAAGAAGCGGGTAGACACTATCCAACAAGAAGACTATGTGCAGTCATGGAAGTGGTGATATTTAAATCTGATTGAGGTTCGATGCCAAGAGAATTCGTGACCAGACGTTTGGTTGAATCCTTGAATTTGCGTGCTACCAAAATATCAGTAAGCTCTTGCAACAGCCGGTCAGTGCCTGGGGAAAGCATTTTGGCCGTCTCCTGGTGAGTCTCCTCTGTTAGTTGTCGCGGTCGTCCTCGCGGTGGTCCTGGTGGTCCGAGTTGTCGCAGGCGTCAAGTTTGTCATGGTCGTCGTGCTGCTTTTAATCACGCTGTCTGGGCATTTACGATTGCATAGTACATAATTGTAAACGGTTCGGGTCGTTCGGCTCGCCCAAGGGTTTTTGTGGGAACCTCTGATCGCTTCGGCAGGGCCCGAGGGGAATGTTGAATGCTTTCTGTATGTGTGTGTGTGTGCGCATGTGTTTGTGGCTGGGTTCCCGGTGGTCATGTCCCCTGAAATGGATGAACTATGATGAATTGCATGGACGCTCCGGCCCCCCTCCTTTTGGCATGAAGCTTTCATCTTGCTTCTGTAGCCCAACGAAAAAGCACAACGAAGCCGGCCTTCAGTTATGTAAGCGGTTGTACGCACTGTTAGCATCCAGGTTTGTAAATGCCGTATGCAAAGCCACGACCCCCTGTGGAGACACTCGGGTGTCGGGTGTCCGAAACTTTTCGGGCTGGGCTGATTCGCGTCCGTCTCCGTGTCGTGTCAGCCATGGCCTCGAGCTTCTTTGCAGGATCTTGCCCGCCAAATTCCTTCAAACTGACAATGTTGCGCAGGTGGTCTCCGGTCCTGCATGGAGGGCTACGCAGGCTCGGAAGCTGCAGTTGAGGTTCTAGGGACTCTAGGGGCATTGATTCATTGATGTTCTTGCTGCCGGGCTTTCATTGCGGATGCTGGCATTTAGAAGGCCTCTGAAGACAGAGAACTACTGGGGCCGATGGCATTCCCCTTCCGTCCTTCTTTCTGTTTCATGTTGATATTATGGCGATGAAGTCAGCCGAAGGCAAGCCGTCACCCAGTGTCACATTAGTCGAAGCATCACTGGCCCGGTTCTAGATTTGGAGGCTACATTCTGACGCTGGGGGTCGTGGATGGCGCTCGGGGGCATGGCCTGGCGAAGGCTGGATGTTCGGCCCGTCATTGCACTGGGTCGCAGAGATGTGCGGAATTTGGCGACATGCTACTCGAGACACTACATTGTCGGATTTTTTGTCAGCCATCTTTGGCAGAGGCTCAGCTAGGAAGTTTAGACCCGGGATCCTGTTGACAGAATACGTCTCTCGAAACGCACTGCGCGGTTCTGGCAGTATCTCGCAGTGCGTTGAAGCGGGGTTTTGCCAGGCTTTGCTGCAGCAATCCATCGCACGGATCAAGGCAGTGCTCCCCAAGGCAGGGGCATGTCGGGGATCTCTTGCTCCGTGTGTCTGCGTTCTCGTCTCGTCTCGGCTAAGGTTCAGGCGATCTGGGTACATGTGGCCTGCTACAACCAGCAGGCCAGGCCTTGAGAGCCCTTAGTGACTTTGGTGTCTGCGCCCTGGGTTCTGGGCCCAGACCCAGACCTTCTCGACAGGCAAAGGCGCTCTACGAGAGTCAAGGCCTGCGGCTGGTGCGCTGCTTCCCTCGCTTTTACAGCTTCTACGATAAGCGACCTGGTCGCCGTGGCAGGATGCCAAGCGAACCCCTGTCTCCGCCTGTCTCCCTGAGATTCCAGAGGTCCTGGGACTCGCTGCTCTACGTCCTCTACATGAACGGCGGGAAGCCACCAGACAGCTTGCCACTCCAGGCAAGGTGGAGAGTTCTCAGCAACACCGTCTCGCCCATTCTCGCCTTCGTTCGAGGTGGTCCAAGATGAGATTGCAGCCACCTTGAGCTGCCACAGCACCTTGCTTGCAGAATGCCACCACGGGCCCAAGCTTCACTGAGCTTCCTGAAGGTTTCGGCGAGCTCTCGGTGAGGTTGGGCTTTTGGGTTTCCAGCATCTCGTCTTGGCAACGACTGCTCTTGCGAGGGTGCAGTGCTGCATCGAATGTTAAATGATTCTGCGATGAGGCCTGGCAGCACGCTGCGGCTGCCGATGCAGATCTGCAAGGAAGAGCTGACGGCGACGTGCGCACCTGCCAGGAGGTCCGGTCCGTGACTAGGTCGTCGCGAGGGGGGGCGTGGTCGAGCCGGAGAGTGCTCCGTCCCTCGGGTCCTTCGACTGGACCAGCAAGGGACGGACAAGCTCGAAGCCTTGCAAGTGGTCGCTCCGCGGTGGTGGAGCCCCAGCTCTCAAAGGAGGCTACGACGACTTCCGCTGCTGCAGATCTTTCCCAGTTCCCTGCAGAACGTGCAGCCGACGTGCTCCAAGTCGGCTCTGGGAGATTCATCACGGCATTGATAAAAAGAGGTTCCCAGCTGTCTTGTTTGCAGGACTTCGATATTGCACTCGCTCAGTTCCAACCACCAGTTTTGAAAAGGATGCGCATCCAGTGAATGTCTTGCCGTGACCACTATCGCTCCGCGAAGGTGGATGTTGAGGATTCAGAGCCCGTTTTGGTCGAAGACGCCCCTTGTCTTCCGAAGCGTAGCCGTGGGCAGCGGAAATCGACCCTAGCATGGCCGTTGGGTAGACGCATAGTGCAGAGCAGAGCCTGAGGACCCAAAGAGCCGGGTGCGCACCTATGAGGCCGAACGCATGTGTGTGTAGGTATGTAGGTAGGTAGGTAGGTAGGTAGGTAGGTAGGTAGGTAGGTAGGTAGGCATGGATGTAAATAGAAACAAGTATGCACATAGATGAATAAATATAGATGCACGAATAAATACAAACAAGAGTATAGACACAAATGTAAATACAGATGGAAGTACACGAAATAAACAGATACATTATACATATACATATAGATAGACAGACAGATAGATCGACAGATCGACAGATCGATAGATAGAGAGAGAGCGAGAGAGATGGATATGCTGTGCAGATGGTGTCATTCGTGTACGGGCTTTGTGTCTGCCTGTACATGTATCCTAGAAATATCTTTCACCGCTGTATAGGGTGCATCCAAATATGCTATCCCCTGTGTCGCCGGAGCAAATGGCATGAAACTCTCAACCCTAAGCCATGCTGTCCATCAGCAGTCCCCTCTATCCATGGGTTCCGTCAGCAAGTCGGCGCAGAGAGCTGTAGCCGACATTCAGCGACCTTTGTGGATGTCAGCTGTTCACCAATGTCAAAGAATGTCGAGATGGAGACACTCACCCCACGCCTAGCCGAAGTGATCTTGACTTGACAACTGTCGGCAAAGAGTCCGAGTGTAACGATGTCCAGAGCCCGCAGCATGGCGCTCATATGACTCGACAGCACCACCAATGCGTTTGTGGGGCGGTCCTCAGCTGCGCTGGGTGGATCTGGGCGGTAAGTGGAGAGTACACGCAGATCAATGTTTCTAACGTTCATGTATTGCACGGCGACTACAAGGAGTACGTCGGTCCCTGTTGCCAGTTGTGTGGGAGAAACCAATCCTGAGCCGAATGTTTTCACAAAGCATGGCTTGCCAGTACTAAAACACATCCAAACATCATGTCGATGTCACCTCGCCCAGGCCATCCCAGGCCCCCAAAAGAGATGCAAGAGACCGCATAGAGACGGTGCTAGGAGCGTTTCTCTCGTTATCACACTAACAAAACACAACATCACACAAAATCAAAATCATTCCCGCAGAAACCTTGACTCTGAGTCAATGGTCAATAGTTGAGGGCAGTGTGTTGTTTGGCCTTCTGCTGTCGCCTCGCCAGGGCATCCTTGTCTCCACCCTGGAGGAAGAGCCGCTGGAGCCAGTGGCAGGGCCCCGAGCAAGCATGGACGACGTACTGTGACTCCAGTCCCCTCGCTTTCGAACGTGGGAAGCTTTCGTTGCATTCGGGGTCCAGAAGAATGCGCAAATTCTCGAATCTTGAGCTTGATTTCGTCAAACAGCAGGCCCAGATCAGTACAGGATAGCACAGGATCCTAGAGGCATTATGCGGCTGGCCGTGGTGGCAGGGGTTGAGGAGACGGCAGCCAGGGGGAAACCTGTGTCTGCCAGCAGCCTTTGGCATTTCGTGCATCGGAAGAGGTGTCGGGTAACCCCCCCGCGGGGAAAACTCCGAAGAGATTTCAATTGTCAAGGCCGAGCTGGAGCCGGAAGGCACAGCCACGATCCAGGCGGCTGACGGCATTCAAGTTGTAATGCGATGTAAAGCGGCACAAGGCAGCTGCATGCACGAATGCAGGGGCTCGCCATGTTGCGCCACGAGATCGAGGAAGTGGGCAGGGGGCTCATGGCAGGAGAATCTGGATTTTGAGACCGCATGGAATCTGGAACATGTCATCATGTCACATTCAACTGGGAGACTGACCACTTTTGGCACATTTGGTCCGAGGTGGCCGAGCTCGTCTCGTGAACGTCATCCGGAGCAGTAGTCGCTTTGCGATTGTCGTAGCCGCCCAAGTTTGAGCTTTAGCCACCTGCAAACTACAGCGTATCTTTGCCCCCAGGGTAGCCTGTAGCCTCTAAACGCTTGACGACCTGGTAAGTTCGTGTAGCTCCCGGGATGCGACGCAAGGGGGTGCATGCAGCAGGCGCCAACGAAGCAGGTTTGCGGAGCGGGACAGAAAGGGGCGCGCAACTTCGCCTTGAGCATAAGCCTGGGTTCTGCAAATTTGTACCATCAGTTATGGTGCAAGACAACGTTTACAAATCTGCAAGTCAACGCATCTAGCAAGTGCATTGGGCGGCATAGGCATGGGACTTCCCAAGCACCAAACTGCAAAGCTGATGGGTTTTTGTTAAGCTGCAGCTCATGTTGGAACGAGGTCAGTCCATACTTTCAGCCAAACATGGCTGTCGTGCCGCCCTCAGAAATGCCGCATCGTCGTGATGCCTCTTGCCAGACATGGCAATCAGGCTCCCGTTTTCATTCAGCTCCGGTGCAATCTCTCTGATGCAGTGTCAGGCCTTTTGTTCCCTTTTTGGCAGAGACGAAGGTTGAATTGCGGGTTTGAGCCGGAAAAGCCCTAGACAAGGTTGAGTAGAATGTCGGTAAGGGTTCCACTGTGAGGATCCCAGTTGTCCTTCTTGCCCACGACCCCGAGACTTCAGGATGGATACATTGTGGGAGGCACACGACAACCCTGCTGAGGTGCATTCCTTGCACCTATCCTTGTCCCCCCGGCGGCCAAGGACATTTCCTAGTGAGGGCATGCGAGGCCATGGTCCACGGCATTCAAAAAGTTTCCACATTTCGCAGTATGCATCAGTGGCATGTCGGTGCACACCTGCCGCAAATTGCAAGCACTGTTGGTGAGCGTCTGCTATACCGTCAGGACTGCGTGTGCGTGTGTGTGTGTGTGTGCCAAATATATCCCAGTGCTTCCACTGCCGGTCGATGCTCAACATTCGACTATTCCGGTACAGTTCAGAAGGTTGACTCGCTGATGTGTCCGGGCTGATGCAGGCGTTCGCTGCATCATTGCCGCTACAGGGTTCGAATTTCCAAACACAACATCCATCTCAATTTCATGTTTGCACGAGCTGACGGTACGGGTCGGAAATTGCGCGTTTTTTTTGCCTGTGCCATCGTTTATGCAGAGTGGCTTTCGCTGGCTTTAGATGGTGGTGCTGTGGCCAAGTGTTTGATGGGTTCCGGTGCTGCCGTTTTTGGGTCAACGCATCGCAGGAGAACACAGCTCCCATTCGTCGGGAGCGGTACGAAGAGGTGCCAGATTTGCTGGCTGCCACAGCTTGTGGGCCCGTGGATCTGACGGTGTCTCGTCAGTGCAGCGGTGCAGCGCGACGTTACAGATGCTGTGCCAGGGACGCGCGAGCGTCCACGATGAAATCGGGTGATATTTGGCGGCTGCAGGGTTCTTAGCGCCCTGAAGCGAGTGTTGTCCGGTGCCAACTCCAGGTTATTGAGATCGCGCAGCGGCACTAGACCTGCATGTCTCACCATGTGACACCATGGGTGCAATGAGCAGAAGTGAGCCACTTTTCGTACTGCAGTACATCGTCCACCACCGAGATGATGTCCACTCATCCCGCGCCCTAAGGACCCAGGAGAGGCGACGGGCGCCCAAGCCCAAGGCCATCAGGATGGGACGAGACACCTCCCCTAAGTCGCAAGAGCTTCTCAAACCTTCGGAGTCCACCAACGTGCAGTTTGAGAAAAGACAAGGTTAGTAGCATGACGACTTGGCTGCAACCAACACTCTGATTCGCCAGTTCTCCAAGTCGGGGTCCACCGGCATGCTTCCGGCCGCTGAGTCTCGACTGCAGCTTGGAGTTGGGCTTTCGACCAGAGCCGAACACTGAAGGGAGTGCCCGTCACCAGAGCCACCACGGCCAGTTGAGTTTTCTGCCTGAGGCTCCCAGCCCTAAGCCTGGCGACACGAGGCCCAGTGCGTCTGAAGTTTCTGGTCCAGCCAAGACGGCCTTGATAATTTCCCCTTACGGCCCTGCAAGGTGCTTGCATAGCTCTCGCTAGGGCTAGGAATGCTAAGACGACTTCGCTAGCCTCCCCAGTCTTCCCTGTCGGTCACCCCCCGCAAGGCAGTCCATGTTCTCCAAGCCGAGCAACTCCATGCCGCAGTTGCCAGGACCTGTGTTCTGGTGAAAACCCGCAGCCCATTGTCACGGCAGAGGAATGTCTTCAGGTCCAGACAAGCACATGGCTAGACTTGCGGGTTGATTTTTGCAGTGTCATCCAAGGCCCGCTTTGGTTGATAAGAAGGACAAGAAGGATGGCAAGGCAAATTTGGTCTTGTGCCAGAAGTGGGGAAGCCAGTGATGTGCTTTGAGCTTGATGCGAGATGTAAAAGATTACGTGCCTGTCGCGGAATTGGGGAAGCTTCTTCACTTGAAGGCTCGGGAGTTGACGACCGTGTCGGACTGGCGGGACTTCTACAAGCAGAGGGCGCAGGAGCTGCCTCGGCCTCGGTTGTTTCTGTCACTCCGCAGAGGAGGGGTTCAGCTTGTCGGCTCTTCAAACCCTGCCCCGATTCTCCCCGGTGCTCTCCTTTGTAGCAGAATTCCGAGTTCTCCCGGACTCCCGGACTCCCGTCCGGGACGTCGACGTGTCTCGAGGCTCGGCTCTTGATGCGCCGGGGGCCAGGGGCCAGGGGCCTCGGCCAGGGGCCTCGGCGTCGTCCCCTTGGCGTCCGTAGGCGGAATTCGGTGCCTGCCGGACAGGAGACTCTGCCTTGCCACCAGCTCCCACCCGGACCAAAGCCCCGCCTTAGTGTTACCGTTGCAGAGTCTCCAGGTCTTCGCGCAGGTCACCTGCAATTGGCATGCTTTGCAACCAAAGCACACGACTGCGAAAGCTGTCCATGCTCCTGAAGCATTGCTGGCCACGGCAGCACCACTGGCCTTTCAATGTCATACGTATGAATTATACATCAGGGTCTGTTTCGCACATTTCCCCAACGCTCGCTGCTGCTCTGCAGGCTTGTGTCTCGTTTTTCTATTGCGATCACTCGCCTTTAAGCCGGTTGCTTGGGTTCCTTTGAGCTTCAAGCTGTTTCACTAGAAGCCAACAAGCAGGCTTCATCACAGCACGAGGGCCAAACAGCGTGACAGTCGCCCGACTTCGCACAGATGTTTCCTTCGAAGCTTTGCAGAGCAGAGCAGGGCCCGGCTAGGATACCTCATTCGAGTATGGTATTCCACGTCAAGGCTGGGCACGGTTATGCATGTCATTCAGAACAAAGGCTGAGTTATGAATGTGTATGGAGGACGTTTCGGCAAGCCCTCGCATCGCAGACGAAGCTCCTTCCCGTAAGGCATCCAAAGTCGCACTTCCGTTTGCTGTTGGTCTTTAAGGAGAGCACCTGTTTGACCCTCCACAGAGGTGGCCCTCTCAACTGACATCATATTCAGTTCATTTTCCGGTGCAACGATGTCAGTGGGAGTTCCAATCCTCTCCAGACCGTACAGAATTGTGTCACCTGCCAAAGTCTGCGATGTACTGTTGGTGTGTGTGGTGCGCTTCTACCAGGTTGTGCCACGTGCCGCTCAAGAATATGACGTATGCTTAGCTCAAGTCACGAGTCACATAGGCAGTTCCACCGCATTGTTTGTTCCGTGGCACGGCCAAAGTGTGTGTGCGTGAATTTCTGGTGAATGACAGTGAAGCGTACCGGGCTCCAAGAAGCGAGCATGTTGAATATCTTGAATAAGCTCTAGGAATAGTCAGGGTGAAGATGTGTGAAGCATCCAAAGAAAAGAGGTGCAAATGGTAACCAGGTATAGCTGTTTTGTTTAGCAGGAGTTGAAGGCCCAATTTCTGGAGGTGAGCGACAAGTTTCACGCATCGACGGATGTCGCTTCATGTACGCGTAAAGTGACAGGGATCGTTGTACGTCCCCAACAAGTCAAAAGCAAATTCTCTGCACGTATTTTGCATCGGCCGAAGGAAGAGCGGAGTGCCCGGAGATCATGTTGCATGATGTTACAGGTGAGTATGGAGCGAGGACCGTTGTCTTGTCGGCAAGTTGCAAAAGTTCTGTGGATCAACGGCTCTAAGACAGGTGTGTCAGGCACACCGCTCCAAATGCGACCTGGTTTTACGCAGGGCCGACGTTGCCGAATGTGTGCTCCGTTGTGCCCTGAGCACTCGTTCTCTCGAACGCACCTCGCTGTGTTGCGTCTACGCCTGTGCAAGGCGACAAAAAACCCGAGGGACATGGTGCTCGTTCCAGCTGCCTTGCCAGTATTTGATGGTCAAGCCGAGTCGTGCATCTTAGGCTCAGGCTAACCAGTTGCAACAGAGCTGTTGTCAATTGCTTGTTGTCGCAGCGAATGTCAGCCATACAGCAGGAGCATAGCTCACGATCAGTTGCTGCAGAGATCGACTCCAGCCAAAGCAATGGACTCCGCGGTCGCTGCGCATGCTCTGGCAGATGCCGCAGCACAGGTCCTGGTGGATGACAAGGACCTCTGCAGGGTCCACAGGGTCCAGGGTTAGGTTCAGATTGCATGGAATTGGGAATTTGGAGCCTGGAAACTCTATGCAGAGGCCAACTTGGAGAACTGGAATCTGGAGATTTGATGCCAAACCGAAAATCCGGACTCAAGCGTCCCAGCTCTTGCCTCGTCAGGAGATGCGCCGGGGCCTTGTGCAGACGCTGAGCCGGCTGGGCGACCGCTCCGAGCAACTTGCGGCAATCGCAACATGGCAGTAACATGACGCACGAAGAGCCAGGAGAGCAGACGCTCATGATTTCACGTGAATTCTGCGAGGATGCTCTGAGCGAGAAAGCCCTCGGCCTCACGGGTCGCCGAGCTGCAACCCCCGCCCCCCGACCGCCCTCGTCTTGGGCTGCGGACGGAGGACATGCTCAGCATTCACGTTTGATTAAAGCCGCTGCCATAGCCTTTGACTGGATTCTGTCCAAGTCGAGATCGTGAGCTCAGAGGTAGCTGGTTCATCCCGTGGCTAAATCGATGCAAAGTGCGTAACACCTGGACGCCAATGCCTCGAACGTTCTTGATTCCTGACGAGGAGATAGGGCTGTGACTCTGACACAAGTTTTCAAGCTCAAGAGGACATGCAGCCGCGGCAGCGGAACCACAAGACTCCAATGACGAACTCTTCATCATCTGGTCGCCTCTTGCCCTCGTGTTTAAGTTTTCTCAGAGACAGCCGCTCGAAATTTGCTGCACAGGCCGGGGGATGATGCTCTGGTTGTTTGTGAGTCTTTGCAGTCTTGCATGTTCAGGAGCTTCGGCCAATCAGTCCCCAGTGTGTACCGCAATGATATGCCCCTCGTAAGGCCTCTTGTTGACAGCCATCTTGGCGCCGCTCACTTAGTGCCAGAACGGGGCAAAAAAGAGGGCACTGCGTGATGCATCTTGTAACTGTGCGCTTGGTACTTGTCCAATCGAGGTGAAACATGTTGAGGAGCTGCGCACCAAGGATCGCAGGAGTTTGATCCTGGAGGCGCTACAGGAGGTCTATAAGTGTCACGGTTTTTTCACGTCCGTTGCATGGCGCAGATCCCAAGCACCGTGAAGACCTCTTCATCGCTTCCCTCACTGAACCGCGCTGGTGAGGCCTGGGCCTGGGAGCCGAAAATTGCAACAGCTGTGAACATCCTGCGCCGCACCGCCTCAGCCTCTCTGTCGTGCTTCCGCAGGCGCGTCCGAACGGCTCCAATCCGAGACAGCGAAGCAAGGCCGGGAACGGCGAAGCCTCAGCCGAGCCGTAGCGTCAGGTGCCTGAGCCTCATGTGAAGGCATTGCCCGACTATGCGCCGCACCTTCGCAGGTCGGCTTTGAACATGGGCTTCTAGGCTGAGTCATGGTCGCCTCACTGTAGGCACGAAGGCTAGATCCCTATCCACGATGGCTGGCCGTTGCTTCAGGTATGCCGTCTCAACTGAAGCTTGGATGACTCAGGAATCGTCAGGTCGACCAGCGTTTGTCTGTCTCTCCTTGGCCTCGCCGTCTTGTCGTACAAGCAACTCAGCTTCGTGTCAATGGCAGACTCTGCTGTCACCTTAGGACCACGACATATATGGCCCAATGCAGCATTCCGGTTCAGAACCTTGGATGCATGCCATCACAAACCAGCTGCAGTGTGAGCAGCGTCAGTAGCCGTAGCGGCCCCAGAATTCTTGAAAGTAAGGTTCAGAGTTTCATAGTGCGAAAGTCACCACTGCATACCGTGGAGGTGCTTCGGATCTTCCGCAGCTGGTCGTCCACTCGCATGTAAGAACGACGACGTTTTACAGACACCTATCACACTTCTGCCCCCCAAGAGTCAGCACCGGGATGTGACAAGATTTCCAGATCTTCGTGCTGAGGAAAGCGGTGGACCCAAAGTGGTCGACGGAGCTGAAGCGACCCTCGTCGGGATTAGAGTGCCGAAAGAGCTCCGGATCCCCGCAACCACCAGCTCAGGAGCTGATTGGCGAAATGCACAGCGGATTCAGCTTCCGGGACTGCAGTGCAAGCTTTCAGTGAGAGTTGGCTTTGGCTTTGTCAATGCGAAAAGCTTACCAGAGCTACGGAGACAAGGTATGACAACCGCCTGTCAGCCTCCACCACCGGCTCGATCTCTCCCGTGCCCTCAGCCGCGTTTGCACTGGCACAGTGTGTGGCAGAGCGTTCTCAGGGCCTCCGAGACCCGAGTGCCCTAACCCGACCCTTGATGGCCAGTGACTCCTATCGCGTTCGCAAACAGCGAAGCCAGGAGATGCCATACCTGGTCAGACATCACTGATCAGCAGCTCCTTCGGGCGCCGAAGCTTTCTCGGACATCAGACAAGCCCAACCAACAACCCAAAGCATCCCAAAGCATGAGCAAGACTCCTGAAAAGCCCGAGCTTTATCCAAACTGTCCTCGTATGAGGCCACATGCGTCACATGCTGCCTTCGTAGAGCCATAGGCTTGCAGTGGGAAGCATTACTGGATGCAGGGTACGGGAGAAAAGCAATGCTGTCCGCGGAAGTGGTGAGGCCTGCTTCGCGCCTACATCAGCGATGAAATGTCGGTGTGCGGAGGCTTTGGCGAGGTCTATCAAGGTGCTTTTTGCATTGGCCGACTCTGACTGCCAACGGCACTCCAAGTGAATTGAAGGAAATTTACACATTTGCTACTTTCGGCTCTGGTATGTCCAGCGGGCGAAACCCTCCGCCCGTTCTCTTCTGAGAGGCTTCCGTGGCGTGGAATGCGTTTCAACTCTCCAGTGTTGCAACAACTGCTCCCAGTGCCTGCAAACCGCAGATCCCATGGACAGCGAACCGCGTATGGCGTGGGCTGAGCCTGCTCTACGGCCCGCCGTTGACCTATTAACGAAATCTCATTTGTTTGCACCTAGACACCCAGCAGACCATAGCAGACCTAGCACCTGCAACCCGAATGGGACTTGTGTCCAGGTTTCAAGACGGCCATGATGTTCCTAGAGAACGTCTCGGTACCTGTGACTCAGGGTCCACCCCCGCAGGCCCGCACGCCTCTAAGTTGAACAGATGTGTTGGGTGCTCGCATCCTGCCAAGCAGGCCGTGCTGGAGAAGAGGTACTGGTGGAGCACGCTTCAGGCCACTTGCAGTGTGATCTCCGACCCCAGATCGGATCTGAGTGGATCAGGCACTTCTATCTGCCACGGCCCTGCTACAATTCTTCACCTTCGACCTGGTCGGCGGCATGCTGACAGGCAGCCTTACATGGTTTGTGCAGCTACCAATTAAGTGTTTCAGAATACATTGTCATGCACCATCTCGGCTGTCCGCAGCGTTCCGGTGTTTAGCTTTCCGAGCAATCCTGTGCCAGCCATGATGCTGTTCCTCGCTTTCATGATGACCACCGATGGGATGGCAGAGATGCACAGGCACGGTGAACATCTTGATCACCTGAGATCGGAACTAGAACTCTCTCCAATCCTGGATCCGCGTGGACAGGTATGCCTTGGCTGCGGTCTTAGCTTCCTGTAACCACAACTGTTGGAATACCGAAACTGGCAGTTCCTGCGGTCCACCCAAGGCTTATGCAATGCTCAGCTTGCTGTGCCTTTTCTTCGACATGGTGCCTGCGGCTCAGCCAGCATCCGCGACGTTGCAGGATTCTGGCTGCATGTTTGCCAGGCCTCTCCTCTCGTCTGTGGGCGGCCGCTCAGAGGCGAGGGTCCTTACCACAATTAACGCGGCCGAATCTTTTGCTGCAAAGGTGTCTGTGGAACCTGTTGACCGAGAGAGCCGAGACAACGAGCTACGAATCACGTGCCTTGGGAAGTCCAAACAGAGTGCCTGTCCATGCATGGCAATCGGCAGGTACACTACAATTATCAAGACCATGCCGTTTTTTGACGATAAGCGGGGCTGGATGTACAATGGGGCACGGAGCTTACAACTGTCAACATCGCAAGGGTCAAAATGCACTGAGTCAATCGTGTGAATGTTTTTTGCAGCCTCGATTATCGAGCTTGGTGAATCCAAATTTTGTAACATGAGTCCAGCCGAGGCGAGCATCACCTTGATCTTGTCTCCTATGTGTATGCTGCTTGGGGCGTCAGAACCTCGGAGTGGCATGTGCTCCGCAGCTTCGTCTTCTGATCGGTTCGACACGGAGCTCTTGCTGCACGGTTCCATGCTTTCGGCATGCTGCTGCAGTAAAGCGCAGACCTGATACCTCGAAGTTTGCAGAAGAGTCAGAGGAGCCAATCCGCGTTGAGCGATTTCGCAGCATGCATCTCCCAAAGCCCGAAGTCGAAGCCAACACCAAGTGGAGCCAGACTGCATTCACGTCATCATGGCAGGTACCTCGCAGGACAAGCCCACATTGAGATGCACAGCACTTTGCTTACAGGAGGTAGTGGGTTTCCAATCTGTCAGCTGTGCTTTCTGAACATTCCCGGTCCATCCAGTGCACCTGTTTGCTCAGGCACAGCCATGGATGCCACTCGCGAGAACATGATAGCGCGTAAGCCCGAGAACATCCTGAGTCCTGGGTACATCCTGCCACATTGGTTGTTATCCGTCACTCGTCCGCTGTGTAGCCCAAGTGTATGCCGAGGAACATGGAGGCAACCCGAGCCACTGAGAATCCTCGGCCGCGACGGTTGAGGTGGGTGGGGCAGTGTCAAGCCGACGAGTCGCTGAGCAAAGAGAAATCGACTTCTTTGCCTTGCCAGGGTGCCGCAGGTTCCTTCCACGGTGTTGAGCCAGCAGGGCAGCCAGGGCCTCGGATTTCGCAGCCTAAAAGGCTCAGCTGTCATAGCCAAGGCGAAGGCGAGCGCAGCCCACCAGAAAGCTCAGCGTCCACGCTTCTCAGGTGGGAAACCCTTTCAGTAGTCTGGAATCCCCCTGCCAGTTTTTCATGCACGATCTATAGGCCTCCGCATTGCCAGAGGTTTTCTGGTCAGAGCCATCGGCTGTCGCCCGACTGATGCCATTTCACGGAGGACCCCATGCCGGTGTAGTTCGAATTGGCTTCGAGCGGTGTGTCTGGACACGGTCAAAGTCAATTTTTGTTCAATAAGAACGATCCCATCTCCGAGACGGCCTCTCGCAGCCAGAGGATCCTTGGATCTTCCAAGGATGACCTGCCCACATGTCATGTGTGGAGAAGCCTTCGCGTTTAGTGGCCAAATGCCGCCACAAGCACCGGCAACATCGGAGGGCAAAATGGGCGTGTCAAGCATGCTTCCGAGGACTTCATCCTGCTTCAGCAGGGCGGACTAATGCAATCACAGTTGAAAACAGTTGTGTCTGTGTGTGAACTGTACGTGCTTGAGAACATGTGATGAGGCGCAAACCTACTTCTGTAGGGCAGGCTTGATGTTGCTTATGTCGCACGGCTGATCGTTAACGGCATCAAGAATTTAGAGACAATTGAGGAACGGAAGGCAGACCCAGCCACCTTGGGCCCAGGACGGACATTACGGCCGGTCTGGAGTCTTGAAGAATCTGGTCGGCTGCAAATAATGCGGGCATTTGTGGACCCGAGCGTTCCGTGCCACACTGGACGGACAAGCAGATGTACGCGCCCGCACGCCAGCTGCTGTTTTGCGGGTTGCTTTACACGCCTCGGCCGGTTCCAGCCCACCAGATCAGCAGAGCTCAGCAACCTTGACAGCACAAAGTGCTCGACCATGCGAACATTTATCACCATTCTCACCTGCATTGCAGCCGCCGAGGGCGGATCTCAGGTGTCGAACGTTTACCTATCTATTGGCCTCGCGAGCCTTTGAATTCTTGTCAAGGGGCGTGGAGCGAAGTGGAGCCGACCGACAGCATTAAGCCAACTTCAAGTCTTATCTGCGAAGACAGAGTTCCGCCCATGACGGAGTCACAAATGCAACGGGTCTGGGTATAACTTCACTTAAAATGACCAAAGCATTAAGCAACCAGCCGGCAAGAAATTGATGCCGCAGTGCCTTGTTGCACTCAGCTGCTGGCCTTGCTTCGGCACCTCCCACAATCTTCTGGTGGCCATTCGCCCTTTGACCCCACTCGAGAAGGAGGTTGCTAACGCGGCGGCACCCCTCTGTTCTGTTGCAGACTCCGACGATCAGTGTTGCTATTTTCGAGCAATGGCTACCGGCGGTGCATTCCTTCGCCTTGCTTGCGAGGCGCAATGCAAACGTCAGTTGCCTGCAGGCTGCAAGTGACTCCCTGCAGAGCGGCGGCGGCGGCCGGGCGCGCTCGCGCTCGCAAGCCGTCTCCCATCGTTCCGTGCAAACGAGCAAGAAGGCTGTTGCGGCACGACGCGACCCTCCGGACCGATCGCCCCGCGCCAAGTGCGGGGGGAGGCGATGTGGTGGTCTCCGCCACTGCTGGGGGACAACGTGTCCCTCTGCTCCCACCGCCTCGCGGCAGACCGCCAGCCAGGCTTGCTCAACCAGCTTCGCCCGGCGTGCCAAGAGGCCGCTGCGTGTGCAGGCGAGCGCGTGGTCGCCCCAGGGGTCTAACCGTCTTCGGCATCCGTGCCCATGTTGGCCGCAGATGCCGGGCGTTTTTACGCGAGTTGCATGGACCGCCGAGGCCTCAATTGGGGCGCTAGGTCGAGGCCGTGGCGGCTCGCCCATTTCTGCCTGTGCACGACACACTTGCTGCCATCGCGTTTATCGCACAAGCACGCGGGGACGACCTAAGCCAATCGGCGCCACACCAGCGACTAGGGGTTGCTCACCCTCCTCTTGGGCCACAGTGGCGCTTCTGCCTTGGAACGGGACATCAATGCGCTCCGTCAGCCAGGTGGGCTACCCAACCCCCCACCCCTTTTTGGCACACCAACCCAGCTGCCTGCCCCACCTACGCGCCCAGAGGCGTCCGTTCCACATGCCGTGCGATGCCACGACACGAGGAGGAGGCGCCACGCGACCACGGGTTTCATTGGCGGGCGCGCCAGGTGCCGCAGCTGATGACGACTGCCTCGACGAAGCGAACGCTCCAGCCGACGACGAGGCCCTTGCCGGAGCTTCGCAGGGCAGCGCAAGCAACTCAGCCCTCGCTGGGATCCCGGCTCCTGCGTGGACCAGCCATCGCCAGACGGCATCGTCGTGGCCACGCGCAGAGCTGGCAGAGAGGTCGGGCGGGAGGGTGCGCAACAGATGGTCAGCACGCGGCGAGGCACACATGGCAAGAAGCAGCCACGCACACTGGAGGTCCGGCAGCATGGGGAGCTCATACAGTAGCCGCCCTCTTCAAGCAGGCGCGCGTTGGTGTGGGCGGCAACAAAGCGCGGGTGGCCGATGGGAGTGCCCAACGCTACGAACGCACGCTCGGTTTCGTGTGCATCCCCGCGCCACACGCCGGCTCGATGCTGTCGGCCTCGCTGCCGAGTTCGGCACGCCTGTGCCTATATGTACCCGCCTTCTTGCGAGCGGGCGTGCGGCAAGCCTTTATCCTCACCATGCGAGCCCTTCGGGAAACGCACGCACGCGGCACGGCCCCTCAGCAGACCCGCGCTTGGAAATTGTTCCTGCTCATCCCGCGGTTGCTGCTCCACCGCGCTCGCGAGCCGGGCACGGTCGGACGCGAAGCCGTGTTGCAGCGCACGCGCGACTTCCTCGCTGGGAGATGGGATGCCTTGCTGGGGACTTGCACGTGCAGCCGCAGGCGCGCCACGCACCAGCCGCACACCTGCCGCCCCCAACGCTGCGGCCGATGAGGCCGCCTGCGCTCGGCGCCGGGCACTTGCTTAATCCCAATGCGCGGCGCGGCGAGGTCTCCCGAGCTCGAGGCGTTCTGACGTGTGCTGTGATCGCGCCGGGCACGGAAGAGACCTTCGCCGCTTTGTCCGATCCGGCACGGCGTCCACCGGCGCCCCGGCAAGACGTGCCTGCAGACGTCCTCTACTTTCAGCCCGACTCGCCGGTCGTGCTCACCGACGCCGCCGTCGCTCAAGCTCTGCGGACTGCCAGGCGTGGCACCGCTGCTGGGTTGTCGGGCGCTACGTGCGAACACTACAAGCTGCTGCTCGACGACGACGAGACGTCGTTTCTGCCTTGAGCCTCTCTCGGCTCACCGCGCTCCGCAAGCCCGGCGGCGGCGTGCGCGGCATCGCCACCGGCGACACTTTCCAGCGTCTCGTGTCGCGCGCTGTTGCACGGATGTTTGCAAGAACTCTTTTGATGAAACGACCCGCCCGTACCAGTTCGCACTGCAAACCCGTGCAGGCACCGACGCACTTTCGGGCATGCTCAGGGCCGCTGTCGATCTCGACTCTGCGGCAACAATCGTATCACCCGACGGCCGCAGTGCCTACGATACGATCTCGCGTGCCGCATTCATGCGCAAGCTGCACACTGTCGTGCCTGCACTCGTCCATTTTGTGCGCATGTGGTACGGGCAGCAGTCCACTTACTTTGGTGGGATGCCACAGGCCAGCGACGCACCATCCGTCAGGGCGAAGGCTGCGAACAAGGGGATGCTTCGCCGCCGACGCGCAGCTACGCCCCGGAGAATGCTTGGCGGCCTTTCTCGACGACGTTTTCCTCGTCACTACACCCGCTCGGGCACGCGAGTCCGTCGTTACCACATCCATTGAGACAAGGGCGGGCGTCGCCGCCAATCTCGGCAAAACCCGAGTGTACAATCGCGTTGGAGGACCAGCACCTCCTGGCATGCCTGCTTGCGCTGCTTGATGAAGAGGACGACGCCGACCCCGAGGTTGCCGACGCACGCCGCCTCGCAATGCTGCCCTCGCGCCTCGGAGGCTTGGGCTTGCAGTGCGCCCGCACCGCGCCCGCAGCATATACTGGGCTGCTTGGGCCGATGCCCTGCCTGTTCTGCCCGCCCGCCGGCCTGACGCCGCGGCCCGCTGCCTTGCTGAGCTCACCCACGGTCCTGCCTCGGCCGTCGCGTTCCTGCGTGCTGCTGAGGAGGCTGGCCGCACGCCTGACCGCGCGAACTGGACAGGCCGCCCGTTTTGGAGTGACTTGCTTAACGACTTACGCCCCGTATAATGCGATGTGTTTGAGGTTGGTGATAGGCGCCAGGGCTGGCAGCATCACCGGTTCACCCACTAGCTCTACCCACTTCCGCGAAACCGAGCTGCTGCCCGCTTTGCCAGCCCCCGCCCAGGCCATGCTCCGCTCGCAATCGGGGCCGCGCGCTGCAGCCTGGCTCAGCGCCACCCCGTGCGAGGCTGGCACTGCCGCCCGACCGCATGCTCATAGCTTTGCGGCCGCGGCTGCGGCTGCCCTTGCCCGTCGCGTGGCACAGATACGGCGAACATGGCCACGGCTGCGGTGCAGTAGTCGATGCTTACGGCGACCACCGTGCCGCCTGTCCCCGTACCGGTCTCGTGAAAAAAAAAAATTTTTGGAGGGCTCGGCCTCCGCTCTGCAATTGCAAACAGCAATGCCGCGCGTTGAGCCTCGTGGCAGGACATGCTGCCCGAGGTGAAGCCGGGCGCGTGTGGTTCGGTGACCAGGCGCTTGAGCGCTTGGTGTTGCTTGGCACTCCTTTCGGTTCGCCGGAATTTATCGCCAGTCATCTCCAGTCTTTGACTGCCCGACACAGGGAGCTGTTACACATGTTGCCGCGCATTGGTGACACGCAGGTTGCATGGCTGTTGCTGTTGTACACCGCGGCCCCGCGAGCCCAGTTTGCATTGCGCACGCTGGCGCCCGGGCTCACCCGTGAGTTTGCAGTTACACATGATTGCGGCGGTGCTCGACACCTTGAGCGCATTGCTTTGTGCTCATGAGCGTTTTGCGCTCCCACCTGCTGCCTCCCGCGTTGCACAGCTTGCTTTGCGTCACGGCGGCCTTGGCCTGCGCAGTGCCGCGCTGCACGCGCCAGCTGCTTTTTGGGCGTCGAGGGCCGGCGCATTCACTGTTCTGTCCGTTCGGGATGCACCCTTCCTGCAAGGTTTGGCACTGGCTTTGGATTCCCGTAACCTTTTCGGCAGGCACTGCGATTCGGGACCTGCTCGAAGCCTCTGACGTGCTCGTCGCGGCCGGCTTCCGGATCCCCTTTTGGGCTGACTTGCCCCAGCAGGCCCCTGCGCAGCCAGCCGACGACACTGAACCCGAGGTCGCCTTGCGTGGCTGGCAGCGCCCTGCCTCTCGGGTCTTTGATGACTTTGCTCTCGCTGAGCATCGCCACAGCGTTGGCCCGGCCGAACTCGCACTCCTGGATTCATAGTCGGGCCCATGTGCAGCCAGGGTTCTCACGGTGCGTCTTACCGCTCCTGAGCTCGCCGTCGACTCAGCTCCTTTCCGCGTGTCGCTGCTCCGCCGCCTCCGACTTCCTCTCCCGTCGGCCCCAGCCCGCTGCCGCTGCCAACGCCCGTTGGATGTGTTGGATGATCATGTCGCAGCCTGCCCCCGGTCCGGCACCTTGCGACAGCGAGGTGGGCCGCTTGAACGGGCCGCCACACGTGTCTGCCGCGAAGCCGGCACAGCTGTTGCTACAAATGTGCTGGTCCGCGACCTCAACGTCATTGCAAATGGACTTCCTTTGTGGGGTGGCTCTCAACTCGCAGTTGACACCACCCTGGTCTCCCCACTGACGTCAGCTGGGGTGTCCCGCCGCCGCAGCGGGGCCACCGCCGGCGCAGCCCTATCAGCCCTGGCAGAAGCCCGCCGAAGCAAGGAACGCACCTACCCGGAGTTCGGGCGGGCGTCGCGGTGCCGCTTGGTCGTTCTCGGCATCGAGGTTGGCGGACGGTGGAGTGCTGAAGCGGCCAACTTCGTCCGCTTGTTGGCTCGAGCACGAGCACGCACTGCCCTCCCTTTGCAGCGTGCAGCAACAATCGCTGCCTTCGTGCGGGATGGTCGGACGTCCCGCCCACGCACCATGAGGTCAGCATCCCTAGCGCCCAGTTCCGCGTTCTCCTGCTGCGGCGTTTGCGCATGCCTTTTCCGCTCGC